ATCTGGCCTCGAACAGGCACCGGCTGTTGGTCAGAAACCTGAAGGCCAGCTAGACCAGGAATGGGCAAACCCTACAGAGCTGGGGGGATTGGGACCAATCTGGCCAACCGCTGGAGGGCTGCGCTTCCCAAGGGGTCTGGTCTGAGGAGGGAAGGGAAGGAGCGGAGATGGACCTGCCCCACCAAAGACTTTCCAAGCAGGGCACCAAAGCTGTCACCTCACCGCCCGGGATCAAGACCTTTCTGGACTACAACTCCCAGAAAGCCAGCTTGGGGGGGGGAGGAGGATCCTGGGAGTTTTAGGCCCCTTATCACAACCGCCAAATTGCCATCCTTTGTGAACTATTCTGTCCCAGAGAGGAGAAAAACGGGGCCAAATCCCTTCTTCTTTTGTGCCTGGGAAACCTGTGTCCTGACTCCAAAGGGCGACACATGCAGTTCTCTCAAAAAGGGGGCTGTGGATTATTTGACTTCCTTCTGGCCAGGCTGGGCCCCCCTCCCTTCCTCATCCCCTCCTGGGATCAAAAGGCAATCTGAAATCCACGATGTCAACAGATCCTGAATTTATGGCTGCCGGCACAGATGAGCCTGATCTGATCTTCCCAACTGCAGTCTCACCAAGCAAGGCCAGGCCATTTCTTGGCTAAAAGACTGTCAGCGAGCCTGGCGGACGGGCCAGCTAATACGACCCTGAGGCCAGCACGAGTGTCCGGCAGCTGCATCCAGGAATTCAGTTGCCCTGCCCTTTGGCTGACATGGGGGGCGGTGGTGGTGGTGGGAGCTTCACAAGTGCAGCCACATCCCAACTGCAGTCTCACCAAGCAAGGCCAGGCCATTTCTTGGCTAAAAGACTGTCAGCGAGCCTGGCGGACGGGCCAGCTAATACGACCCTGAGGCCAGCACGAGTGTCCGGCAGCTGCATCCAGGAATTCAGTTGCCCTGCCCTTTGGCTGACATGGGGGGCGGTGGTGGTGGTGGGAGCTTCACAAGTGCAGCCACACAAACACCTGTGTGAGTTTCCAGTTGGCACTTGCTCCTCTCTCTCTCTCTCTCTCTCTCTCTCTCTCTCTCTCTCTCTCTCTCTCTCTCTGTGTGTGTGTGTGTGTGTGTGTGTGTGAGAGAGAGAGAGAGAGAGGGTGAGGGGAGATGAAAAAGAAATAGTCTCCTTGTTTTTTCATGGCCCAAGCTGGGAGGGTAGTTTTGGTGGAAGTGATTGGCATGAAAAGTTCAAGATTCAACAGAAACGCTTGTTTCCTAGACTGGGAAATGACACAGCAAAAGAGGACCAGGTGGGAATGTCCAGCAGCTGGTCTCCTTATATCATGATGATGATGATGACAGTGAAGAGTCTCTACACTTTTTTTTCCTGATTTGCCAGCTGGGTAAATCTGGGGTCATAATCCAAAAACCCTCTGTCCCCTTTGGGACGGAGGCCAGGGCGCTCCTCTCCTCTCCTCTCCTCGCCGGGACCACGCCTTAGGCAGAGATCCGGCCGGAGGCTCCCGTCTCCCCGCCGCCCCTCCCGCTGAGAAGAGCTGTTCGGGCCTCTGCGGGGCGGGAAGCAGGTCACTTGCGCGCTGCCGCCGCCGCCGCCGCCGCCTTCCTCGGAGAGCGAGCCCCGTCCCCTCCGCCGCTCGCTGCCCCTTCCTGCTTCTCCACCCGCCCCCCGGCTCCGTCCCCTCCTCCTCTCTTTTCCTGGCCAGCCTCCGCGGGCTGCTCCCTTCCAGC